CGCCACGAGCGACAGCGTGTGGAGACCATTCGCGTAGCATTTGGTATCCTCGACTTGCCGCCCATCAATCTGGACGAGAAGAAGTAAGCATTCCACCCACCCGTCTCCAAACTGCGCCCTCCCCCAACTCCTTGCATTCAACCAATCTTCTGCTGCATCACCTCTCTCCAGCTGCCACGCGCCTCTCCACACGAGAAGACGGTCAACCTGTCTCCTACACTCTCACCCACCACCATCACCACCACCGTTACTATTGAACATCGTCATTGCAACCACACTACTACACACATACACACATACATTCCAGTTCCCTTGCATCCAAACACCCTCTCATCAGCCAACCAAATAACCAACACGTACTCACAACAGCCACATTTTGTCGTGGGTACACGGAAAGGGGCATCAGGTTGCACGTTCATCGAAGTAAGCAGGCCAGTTGACACTGGCAAGCTAGGATGCGCACCCACCTTTCCCTTGTGGTGAAGGTGTTTTGGCGGTGGCGTTACTGCAACCCACTGTACAGTGCTTGCTCTGCACCTGACCACACCTTTGTGGTATTGCATTTGCCCATCTCTGTGCTGGAAGCAGGACTACTCCATATTCTTCTGCACTCGTACACTCGCGTGTATGCAGTTGATTGCACCTGCGCACCCATTGCCAAGCGACGCTGTCTAGTATGCCACACACTCCCCCCACTACATTCCATCAAACAATCAATGTCATGCCAGCGTGATTTAGCGAGATGTGGACACTTGTCGCTGCCCCCTAGCAGGATGCCAGTACAATGCGAGGGTGGTGTGCACCTGTTAGTCGGAAGTCGCGAGAGAGTCCAATGCTCTGCGCTTACGATCATGCCTCCTGGTGCATAGTCAGTGCTGACGAACATCCATCCCCAATTAGTCAGTTGGTGCAACTGACAACTGGCAGTGTGCGCTACGTGAAATCGAAACACGTACAAAGGTGACGCGTAGTGGGGCGAGTGGGAACAGGATTGACTAATGAAGGGGAGTGGGGGAATGGCAAGGATTTGTGTGATAGTCAGTCTACTGAATCACAGTAAACTGAATGCCATCACGATTTATTTACGGGTTCGCATTGTTGTCTAGTGTGAGGAGTGCGTGGCATCACCATGCGACTGATGCAAGGCACACGGTGCGGTCCGATGCTCGCCTGTGCAAACAGCATGACTGGTTGTTATTAAGGCGTTCCATGGGCAGGATATGCGAGTGGTGGTGGACAGGGAGTGGGAAGGGGATGGAGGAGAAGGTGTGCAGATGTGTAATTGTGCTGGACAGTTGGATGGGGTGTGGTTGGGAGGGTGGGATGGAAATGAAGACGGTGGTATGAGGTGGGGTGGGGTGGGGTGGACTGGACTGGATTGGACTAAGCTGAGATGGACTGGATACGGCTGGGCTAAACGGGCTGGGATGGAGGAGATGGTCATGGTGGGATGGCGTGTGGTGTGGCAATTGGGCCTTTGAAGGTCAATGAAATGGAGTGAGTGGTTGGCAGTGAGGGGAGGAGAGAGGGAAGTAGAGGAGAGGGAAAGATTGATAGTTTCAAAGTAATCAATACTCTCGTTGCTTCTCATTGCTCCTCCGGTCTCAGGATGGATGCCTCCAACTGCCTTCCGCCCATCCGCACACACACACATACACCCAAGCATAAACTTATATAATACCTGCTAGCCTTGCTCATTCCATACCGTGCTTACGATACGCAACCACCCACCTCATT